TATATATATATATATATATATATATATATATATATATATATATATATATATATATATATATATATATATATATATATATATAAAAGCGAGATCCCTCCGCTGGTTGGACTCAAAGAATAATCATCATCCAAAACTCACCGGTTCCGGTACTGTTAACCGAGTTCACTGACGAGGATTGTGACATTTGCATCTGCAGTGACATCTGATTATTACTCTGCTGCATGGCTAATGTCTGTTGCTGGTGTTGCTGCGACAGTAACTGCTGCATCTGAGTGGTATTGGCCATACCCGAGCCAGTGATACCTCCGCTCTGTGAGCGAATCAACTGTTGATGCTGCATCTGCGCGGCGTTCATCTGCATTCCACCCGTACCACCCATGCCGAATCCACCTGGAAATTAAGCATAAGTGAAACGATTTAACACGATGTGTAACACTTTGTTGCAACAACTAGTGTTTGCTTTCTAAAGAAACATAGCGATTGGCTCGTCCATTGGTTCCGCACGAAGCTAGAAATTTAGCTCAACTTAGGCTTACTCTTACTAGTTCGACTCTTTGCCTTGCTATACGGAACTTTAATCTGTTTGTGCCTATCCACGATGATCGATCTATTGCACTATTATCTCGTTAAGACTAAAAAGATAAAATTTCCAAATTCTACAGAAATATAAAATATATAATAGTTACCAATCCGGCGTCTCGTAATATCCAATTAATTGTAAAAAAAAAAAAAAAAACGTAAACAACATCGATTTCACAGCGATCCTTGATATTCCATTTTCTCTCAGCGAGGAAATTAATTCTCAGAGTCAAAGATAACGAAAAGAGCATTCTAACAAGACTCGGCGAGTTGCAACCGATTAACCGAACGAAAAAAAAGTTAATTCGATATCGTTCGCGAAACGGCGATATCACGCGCTAGTGGCCTACTGTGCGCGGGATAGCGGATGTCCCGGGGAGACGCTTACCTTGGTGACCTTGCTGGTTGAATTGCGATCGCATCTGCGCCTGAAAGCCCTGTTGCTGCATCAGAACGTGTCGCCACTCCTGCTGGGCGCCGCGGCCGGCGATACTGTTGCCAAGGCCATCGGGAGGGCCGACGCTGACGTTAGGCGGCCGTTGATTGTTGGTCCTGGGATATCCAAGACGTTGATGCATCTGATGCATCCCGCCGATCGCGGTCATGCCTCCGCCGCCCATGTACATGTTGCCACCGGCGGCGTGCAACGCCTGCTGCTGCTGCTGCGCCATTTGCGGTCTCATCATCGGACCTGCGATGAAAACAAGGGACAAACGAATAGGTTACTTGTTAGCAGAGACATTGCCATTCTTTTAGAGATCTTCTTTGTGAAACTGAGGACAGGACTGACTGTAGTGTAATGTATGAAAAGAGAATTTCAAGATCCTTCCTTCTTTTCCTCGTCGATAAGGAAGATCAAATTTTAGGCACATTAGGGGAACTTGTTACTCGTTGTTCCTTCACGTTTCTTAACGTCGTCGCTGCTCGTTTTAACAATAGTAATTAATAATCAAAAGAAGAGATTTCTCGAGCTTTGTGTTTGCAGAGTGTTCGCACAAAGAAGAAGAGGAAGGAGCTTTCCTCGTTGTAAGTTTATACAGAAAACAATCAGTCTCCGGCGAGATTTACGACCAGCGAAACAGACGATTGAATCGAAGAGGGCGGTGATCGATCGCGAGGAAACGTCTCTTCATTCTGGTTAGCCAGATACGCGAAGAAGACACGTATTGCGATGGAAACGTAGCGCCTTTAATGCACTGCGGATTTTCGTTTGGATAGAATCTTATGAAAGTGGCTCCGAGCAGATCGATAGAGGAGTCTCGTACGAGCCACGCGGTGTATAAGAATATTTACGATCCCCTTTCCACCCCTCCCCACTCACTGCTACACACCTATAGTTGGTTCTCGTTCTCGTTCCTCCTAGCCTGGAGCGGATCCAGCCGAGAGATCGGGTTCATTTCCTCTGGATACTTACCCAACCAGAGTGGTTAAGAAGTGTGTAAACATTATTCGAATGGACGATCCGCGTCCGGTCAAATATTTTTCCACGATTATTCGCCATTTACTCTTCGCGTTCTCCCCACTCGATTTGGGTTAGGTATCCCTGTGCAATCGGAATAATCCAGTAATCGAGATTACTCGCGTGGAGTAATCCAACGGAAAATGCGTTTCATTACGTTTCGTTTTACTTCCAAGGATTCCCGAATCTCCGTCAAAAGAGGATGAGTTTACCCTCGGTTGGTCCGACGGCTGAAACTCTCTGAGAAAAGCTCAAAGTCTGCGTACACATCTATATAACGTACGCAGGAGGATTTTCAATTTTCGTTTTTCTTTTTATTAATGCACAGGAGCGTGTTTCAACGTACGTTTCGAGTGAAACTCGAGAAGGGGGAAACCCAATCGAGAAAGGAAAGAAATCGAAATAGTCGAACGCGTACTCGAAAGAGCACTCGTCGTTTCGGCGAAAGACGAAAGAATCGATAGCAGCGGCCAGCTTCTCATTACCCTAAGTGCCTTCCGACTCCGGCTGGTACATATGAAAGTGACGCAACCGTCGCCACTGTCAGCGTAAAAAGCGAAACAGAGGATTGGATCGCGCCGACGCGGTTAATTTCCACTTTTACCAACGTGTACGCATACATATTTGCTCGCTCTCCCCCCTCGGTGTACACGATCGGTGTGCTTTACTCCTTCTCTCACTTCTTCCCTCTTCTCTTTGTTCGAAACTTATTTTCTAAATTACATCACTCAAGGAATAATCAAAAGCTTCGCAACGAATATAAAAATTCTAACGAGAAGTTGTATTTTTTTTAAATTACAGTGACACAGTTACGAAGATTCCACGCGAACAACGTGCTGGATTTCTTATATAAAAGGAGAGAAAATTTGGCAATATTGCATCTCACTTTACTGTGAAAGAAATTTTGATAAACTCGACTGTAGTAACTTCAATTTCAATCCTCGAATGTATAATACGTACAGTGGCTCCAAGCTTTCGTGTGAGGATACTCCGAAACCGAGCCGAAAAATTGTTGACACTTTAAAGTACTGTAACTTCGTAAAAAAAGATCGTAGAACAGTCGAATCGAGCTCATTTTAAAGCGTGAAGCTTCTACTTTTACACTGCTGAGTTTGTTTCTTACAAAGATGTTTTATAATATTATAACAGGAGGTGAGCAAAAGCTTTTCTCAAAATTTTGCAAATTCAAACATCAATCTTTTTATAATTACCATAAATCTACCATAGTTTTTGTAACAATTCCTTAATATTTGTCGTACGATTTTTCCTCACGAAGTTACTAAACGTACCACACCTGGTCAAGTAACCATTATCAAAAAAATTCATTGTTATTTCTTTCGTTCATTTAACTTTTAATGTATAATTTTCTTTCTTACTATGAAAAAGTGATTTTATCCATTTTTCTCAGTGTCAAGTTCACGATTATCCTCTCGTAAAAATATTTTTTTTTACGAAATTTCATTTACGATAGGAAATTATAGATGTATATAAAATAGCGTTCAAAAATATCAAAAATATTTACAAGAACATTTTGGAGTTGTCGTTACATGGAAATGAAGAGTTATAACGATTCGCAATGCGATGCACTCACCTGAAGGTGGCATAGGCTGTTGCGTAACCCTGCGCATAGGTCCAGCATTGGGAAACCTAGCCTGCTGACCCATGCCGATGCCAGCGTGCATCATTTGGGCCTGAGCCGCTTTGTATTCGGGAGGCGGTGGTCTCACGCCACCCATTCCTCCGGCCATATGCTGTTGTTGTTGCATCACCTGAAACACCAAGCAAACAATGGATTTCAATTACATTAAATCACGTGTTTCGGGGCACTGTAACTCCGAGTCGGAGCCCGCCGCCCATAGTACCGCGCTATTGTGTTATCAGAACGAGTTGCGTACCAACAGTTCGCAGGTTTGAAGTTATTTTTGCGAATAAAAATGGAATGATATTGTTTGCTGTAAAAGTCAGCGGTTGGAACTGAAAATTTTGGCAGAATTTTGGAAAAGTTCGAAAAGGAGACTTAATAAAAATTAAAAAAGAAAGAAAAAAGAAAGAAAACGTAACATAATGATAGTTTCACTTATTTGAGAATTTACTAGTTTTCACATACTTTTCAGATAGATTAAAATAAAATATTCCATTCCTTTAAATGTTCCAACATGCTCTGATATCCTAATTTTTTTCTAGTAAAAGAGAATATTTTATTCTAGCCAATATACACGAGTTTAAGACGTACAAGCTCTGTCAGGACACCTGCTGCCTGCTGGCTAATCGCAGGTAGCATGAGACGGCAACGGAATGGAGGATGAAGAACACGACGTAAGATTTGACTGGCAAGTTGACTTGGACGACAATAAGGAACGAGTTAGAAAGCTGGTCGACAGATTCCACAGGGAATAATTGCAACTCAGCTCACGGCACGCATCGATGACTCGTTACGAGTGGCATTGTCGTCGAGCTGGCGAGCGCGGAAGTTCCATCGGCCTGTCGTTGCACAAGCCCCCCGTGGATTGCATTTCTACTTCCTGGTGTTACGCGACTAGCGACGAAAGCCCGCGTACGCGACGACGACAATGAAGACAGAAAAGCAACCGGAGACAGTAGCCACACGTTTTCCTCATTACCAGCCGAGATATACAATCGCTATGTTCCTCCGCCATTTTCACCTCGCCTTTCACCCTTTTGATTTATCCTGCATTTATTTATTCTCTTTTTCAAGTACACGGTAAATTCTACTGTTTTAATTATTATCAATTCAATTATTAATTCATTATTGTTAATTTAAATATTATCAATTATTAATCAATGTTAATTATTATTTAATTATTTTCCAGCACACGATAAATTCTACTGTTTTAATTATTATTAATTCCTAAATCTTTAAATTATCAATTCTTAATTAAGATATCTGTTCTTCCATTACGTTAAATTCTCATTTATTTTAAATCGTAAGTGTGGATTAAAGGAGGTCTTTTATTTTTAATTAGGATTAGATTCCTCGTGTTCCTTTTTCGCATTTTGAGAATTGTTTGATCGACGTGATGCTCGCTACTCCCAAGTTTTCTATCTACGTGTGGAAATACGTGCAAAACCAGAGCACTCTCTCCAGCTGAAGGAGAAGAAATCTGTCTGTCGTTGGACGAGCAAGAGCCAGCGATTAGGCGAGCACCATCTTGTTGTTCTCACAACGAGCTTCTGCTGAACGTAGGAAACGTTCGTAAAATCGACACGTAGTAATTTCACGCGCGTTCCTCCACCGATCCGTGCTCGAGAATACGGAAGTGAATGGTTCTCCACAGATTGACTCTCGACCGAGTCGCTCGTAATCGCAAGCTCAATAATTCACCTCGAAATTTCTCACACTTTGAAATTATTAAGTTTTCACCCCTAAAAAAATTTCTATCCGATCGAGAAACAAGAATGGAAAGAAACATCTCGCCGTGGACTTTGATCTCTTTGATAACGTTTCGCGGATCGTTCATTGGTATCGCGTTGAAACTACTCGACAGGCAACAGATCTTCGTTTTTCATCGATAATCGAGGAAGCCTTCGCCAACGTTCTCACGGCAATTAGAGACGCGATTGCACTTCACGGTAGTTCGGTTACATAGAAAGTGACCCAGGTGCTCGACCCTGGTTGCAATCTGCGAAAAATCTCCCCTCATTTTGTAACGCGATTCCAAACGATTCCCCGCGGTGAACATCGAGAACGAGCGATTATCAAACGATCTGGTATTTAACTCCTCAACCTGTACGCGCGTTTCGTTTCGTTCCGTTGTAACGAGTCGAACGAAGAAAGAAGGAAGACGATGATACTGCCGATACAAAGGCCGAGCAGGAAGGAGAAGAAGAAGAAGAAGAAAAAGAAGAAGAAGAAGAAGAAAGAGCGGCCAACTCGACGCTGATGAAGCATGACTAACCAATTGTACGAAACCTACAATTAGTAACTGGAGCACGATCAGAGAGTTGCGTTCGATACCTTAACGTCGTTAAAGTAATACTCGGTATTACAACTGAGTCACTCGTTAATAAATCGCGCGGCGTGCTCGCGAGCGGGGAAACGTGACCGCGCCACGAGAGAACACGTTGCGATCTATAAATCGCAAATAATTTCACTCTGCTCGTCCGCGATTTTCTCGCAGTGTGCTCCCCTCGATGAGAGGAAGCTGATAAATTACCGTGATTCGTTATTCCTTGATGTTTGTATTTCCCCACCCACCCGATCTCGTTTTCTCAATGATAGGAACGAATGGAATTGTTAATGATATTTTGAGAGATACGTCAGACGTATTGCGTTAAATGTTTACGGCAGATTTTAGCTGACTGAGAACAGAGGAAACATTCAACGCTGTTACGTCAAAAGAAACGCGGCAACGGTAAAAAGTTCCTTTTAAATTATTCATTCTTCGAACAGTTTACGAATTAATTTATATAGCGCCATTTCAAAAAAAAATAAAAAAATAAAAAAAGAGCGGCATGTAAATGAGAAGGATGAGCTCGTTCGCCGCTTTCATCGATGAAAGATCAATTGTTAACCGGTACGATGTAAAATGTGAAATATCGTGTCAGAGAATTATCATAGAGAAGAATTTGACAAATTTAAAAGTCGTCGATTTTTTTTTATCGAAGGAACGTTGAACAACAAGCGATCTCGGTGTCTCGACTTGCGTGATCTGACGTTCAATTGTGCTTTAACAACATTTTTTCAATAGCTAGGCGTTCGAGGGGATAATTCGTGGAAGGAGGCGATCCAGTGACGGTAATTGAGCTCGTGGACACAGTTTCTTCGGATGCAAATTGGAAATGCATAAAAGATGAAGAACACGGTGCCGGACAAGATGTAAATGACTGCATGCAAATGTTGTCTGATTGCAAAGTTGCCGGCGTTACATTATACCTCGAATAACTGGAACAACAGACACGATACAAGCAAACGTCATCTCCTTTCTTCTCGCCTTTTTCCGCTTTTCCTCCCCCCTCTTTCGTTTTTCTTCGCGTCGACACCAAGAACAATAACTTTACGCGCGAATAAAATCTGCAAGTTTTGAACGACGTAATTCGTAAAGATGTCGAACTAATGCTATGCAATTTAAAACGCTAGCAAGCTGAGATACGCGCGCGCGTGTATATATGCGAGTGCTGTTTATGGAAAGAAAAGCAGAATCGATTTGCACGTGCAAATGCCTTCACGATGATGACTTCTTCGTGTACACACGTTCGCTCATTAGCAATTCACCGTGTTTATTTCGAGCCGCAGCTCGATTGCGTCAGAAGGAAATAATATTTAAATCGAATAAAAAATAAATTTTGAACGAAGAGATTCAGAGATCCTGATTGCAAAAGCTTCCGTTTTCGTGGTTCTTCGATTGAAACACATGAATGAATTCTAATAATAAATCTAACGGCGTGTTTAAGTGACAAGAGAATCGGTTACGAAGCTCTCTACACAACAGGATTATTATTCGCAAGTTGCACTTCCTAGTTAAATACATTCTCGTCTATTCTTTTACGGTCTTAAATTGTTCATAACGTACAATTGAGGATCATACATAAATTGTTCGTAACGTACGAGTTGAAATTCACTGTGTATAAAATGACCGCGTGAAAACGTAAATTGCAAACGCAACGAGAAGTCACACGCGACGAAACTCGAATATCGCGTACGAACGACGACGAGGGAACCGCAACAATTTCACTCGATTGACCTCTCCCTCCGTGCAAGCACCGGCAGTGCAAACCGCATTCGTAAATAACGCAAGTAAGAGCAGGATATCTTGCTCAGCCGCGATAACACCAGACATTATGTTTTCTCCAGGAAGTGTACGCGAACGAAGATTTTCCCGGGCTGCAGGAAAAGTTTCCATTCATTGTTCCGCGGCTTCCAAGACGCCTGTCCTATTTACGTCGCTTCTTTCAGCACGACAGAGCAGAGAAGTTGCAAAGGAGCCCACGATACCTGTTGCACGCCCATCGCCGGATACCGACTTAATGTTTCGAATAACGCGCCCTCCCCGCGATTCCGCGCACTCTCGCTTCTTCTCTTTTCTCTCTCCGTTTTCTTTTTCTCCCTTCCCTTTTTGCTCGAGGCAAGCTTTCGCGAATCGCGATTTTTAAAGAGATTTAAAGAGAAACTCTCATTTATCTCCGTTTAATACTCTGAATTGATAAAGTTAAACGAACGCCGAGGAAAAGAAAAGGAGAATTCCACTTCAAGTTTCTTCGTAATGTCAAATGAAAATATCAATCGCCAATTGATAATCCCATAACCACAGTGACGATCGCAATCACAATCCTGGTATAATTCCATCCAAGAACAACCCCGTTTCGCTTATTAAAATTAAAATTCACCCGATCGGCCGTCAGATTAAGCTAAAATCGTCTCTCACGTATCAATTCTCCTCGTCCCTGCGCCTGCGAAACAGCGTTTTCCATTACCTGTAGATAAACATCTTACCATTGGCTTACCATTAGGTAATTAAACCATTAGCCAGCGGCCGGTTCACACCCCCGAGACTCGTGCGTCGCACGATACGAAAGGTCAAGATAAGCGTAGAATGTGGAAAATTCCCGATCGATAGTAAAACAGGTGGAACAGAGACGTACCTGCTGTGCGCGCATCAGCTGCTGCTGCTGAAGGATCTTGGCGTGTTGGTGCTGATCCACCTGATTCGGCGGCACTTGCTGAGGGTGGTTGCGTGCAGCGGCAGCGGCGGCCGGTTGGGAAACACCGCCAGCGGCTGCCGCCGCAGCCCTCTGTCTCAGACTCTGCTGCGTGAAGTTGATCGTTTGAGACTGAGAGACTGAGCAATAGGTGTCCGTCTGGCCGGCCGGTCCCGATTGATTTTGGTTCTGTTGTTGATTGAAGTACATGCCTTGTTGAGCCGCTACAGACACCACTGGCTTCAGATCGCCCGTTAGCTGCATGTGCTGACCCGCCGACACCTGGAAATTTAACGAGATTTTTCACGTTAATAACTGACTGATCCTGACTCTGCGAGAGAGAGAGAGAGAGAGAGAGAGAGAGAGAAATTAAACACCACATATAATTCCATGACTGAAATTCTATAAAAATCAATTCGACGCTAATTCGCTGACAGAGTCCGCTGCACTGTGCGGATTCATTCATCAAATCGTAATTTTATCGAAGTATCTCGATTACTTTTTAACTCTTTTGCCGCGGGGAAAAAAAAAAAAAAAAACGAGAGCGGGCACAAAGGGCTGGACAAAGGCGAATTTTATTGCGTTTCGGTAACAACCCGTCCCATAGTGATCGTGCACGCGCTCGGGTATGATTTGGCTTGTTAAAGGTATGATCCATGGTCGAACGTAGATCAGATCGACCGGTGCTTTTCATCCAGGGTTGCAGAGGCGGACAACGGGGATCGCCACGGGCGGGCTGGAATTTGGTTTCTAGCAAAAAAGCGGCGAACAAGTGGCGACTATTGTCCTGTCGTCGCTCCGTTGTCCGGTCAATGATACAAAATGGCTACCGTTCTTCAATATCTCATCCACCGACTGGCGCGGGAGAAAAGGACAAAGGGAGGGAAGCAGAAGGCACGAAACACAGTCCTGTGTACGGCTTCGATGACTCTTGACCCCCGACAATCGAATCGTGGTAATCTAGTCCGACTCTTCGAGCTTCCCTCCGCCGGTTTTCTACCGTCCAACGTGGGTTCTTAATTGTAATCTTTTAACGAAACTGTCACTCTAGGGTATAGTGTGAACAGTACGTTCCAAGTAGATCATGGATTTTTGTGCAAATTCATACTCTTGAGAATTTGATTCAAGGAAAAGGACCTATCAAGTGTTATTAACCTCTTGCCACGCACGTCGAGAATTTTTTGGTCCCAAAATCGCAATATTTTTTTCAATTTTAAGTATATTTAAGTGTAACCTAAGCAAAACAAATAAATTTATTACTTTTGAATAATTTCTATCCAGTGATATCGTACCGACGAGTTCAAAAAGAAAGGTCACTCGTTATGGTCCGCAATCAGTTGCCAGCGCAAGTGGTTAAAGCACCCCGTAGCTTGAATATTTTACATTATTTTTTTTTTTTTTTTTTTTCCTTTCATATTTCGTGCAATTTTTGCACTTTCGAATTTCTTTCGTGCGTAAATGCACAAAAATGGAAATGAAATTTCTGTTCTGTTAATCGCACATCGCAAAAAAGGAAAAAAAAAAACGGAAGTGGAAATTATAGTCAGACTACTAAGCGACGAAGCATCGCGTTCTGCGAATTGGACTCGCGCGAAATATTGGATAATGAGAACACACGGCATTCCTCTTTGGCCTCGGACCACTTATTGGCTGCCTCCAGCAATCCTTTGTTCGTACGCACTATATGGAAATTGCCCCGATCCGGTACCTCGTCGGTACTTTATTATAGCGAGCGACTTATGACCGACGTGGCTGTGCCTAAGTATCACAAGGTCTTGGGCGCGTGCACCGGCTACGCATAATCGAGCCAAGCCTCGATCGTCTTCTATAAATATCAAATTTTTGGTCCTACCAAGTCTCTAAATATATCTTGCGCGCGATCGAATCGGGACACACCTTTGTATCGCTACTTTCTTTCTCCCGTTTTCTTCTCTCGATGCGACCGAATTGGTGCAAATGTAGAAGAAGATCGTTTGAACGTCTCAAAGAGATCAGATACATCAACGTGCGCAATTATTTTCATTTACTGACTCGCCATTGTTCAAAACGGAATCATCTTTTGAGAAATAACGCATTTTTCCCCCTATTGGTTAAGAGTTATAGAACTTTATAATTAATTAATATTTATTATTATATGCAATTATTTTATACAATAAATAAACGATTTTTAGAAATTGCGACAATACAATTTACGATTATTTATTTCTGTCAAAGATGTTACTTGCTAGAAACAGCCCTTACGCGTTACTCGAATTACTTTTTGAAATTACTTTTAAACAAAGATTTGAAATTACTTTTAAACAAAATAAAAATCAACGGCAAAGTCTCCCTGTGAAACGAAACACGAGCATTTCGATGCACTCGCTAGAGAGCAAAATATTTGAATACCGAAAGATGGTCTCGGTTATTCTAGGATATTTCTGCATGGTCACGCCGCCATTTCACCGAGACAACGACGACTTTGCGCCCTTTTGCGCGAGCCATGCCGCGAATAATCTTCATTACGGGCAATTAGCGACTCGACGCTTGCGGACCTCCTGTTTCGACGTCGTTCCGCGCCGCTCGTTTCACCCTTGCTAACTACCATTGTGTCAGGTGCCGCGAAAATTTGTAAATAATTCCTTCTCGTGGAATCTGGCCGTGCGACTGCAGCTCGGTTTGTTGTTTCATGCTTACGGGAGGCAATTTTGGCGGTAAACTTCTCGAGAGATCAACGTTAAGAGGTTTCGAAGGAAGGAAAAAAGTTATCTAGTATCTCGGTCGAATTTAAACAGAAATTCTGAGAAAGATGAATCTGTATTTCATTAAATAAAATATGAAATATGAAAAATTATGTAAGATATAGTTCTTTCTCAACAAATGAACTTTGAACGTAAATTCTCGAGTATAGAAAACTATACGTAATCGCATCTTCATTAAGTATATCACATAGTAATGCCACTCACACTCAGCTATATCTATCCATATGACAACAATAATCAATGCACTTTGAAATGCACTTTGTTCATGATCATCACAGACAAACTATCTTAGCAGACCACTGTATTATTAAACTTATCATTCTCGTTTCTAATTACCATTATCCAACCTTCCTTCTTGTCGGTTAAATCTCTCCTGCATGATCTAGGCTCCAGCCAACTTAATAATCGACAAATTAATAAATTAATTGACCATGTATAAAAGCATCCTATCATTTCAGCCGAATTAAACTAAACCAATTGACTTGATATCAAGTCTCAGTATCAACTGGGGATCGATCAAAGAAAGGATGATGATCGATGATGGACGTTCGACTCATTAACGACAATGTGAGAAAATTTTACGTACTTCAAAATTAAAAACCAAAATATATATCTTCCTCTTGCATAATTGTATAGCGACAGAAAAAAAAAAAAAAACATTAGCAGTAGAAAGTTAAATTGAAGAAATGCTAGAACTTTGTAACAGTTTAATAGTCTACAAATGCTTCCACAAATCTAAGTTTTGACTCCCTAAATGATTTATCCAAACCTTTTTTCCCTCACTTTCTCATAATCCTTAACAGCAATGAAATTTTAAACTGAAGAAATCTTAGTGTCTTCTAATATTACCTACGACAGTTCTAGATATCTAGGAAATTTTGCTATAAAAGTGCTGGGCATCTAGAGTTCTACATATCTACGGAATTTTACAGTACTTACGAATCTAAAATCCTTCGATCACCAAGTTTCTTTTTCCTGCATGATGCATCCCTGACTCGTTTCTTACAGAAAAGAAAATAAAAGAAAAAAAAAAAAAGGAGAACGTAGGAGGTTAAATTGCAGGGGACCATCACGTAATCCGCATTGTCTCGCGGAAACGAGCAACCGTGCACGAGTTAGGAGGGAGCGGAAATACCGTAGGCTTTTAGTTATGACGCCGTAGGAGAAAGCTCGTACCCTGGCCAGGTCGCGCATAATTAGCCTAAATCACGACGGGATGTCCCGGTGGGAGCTGCTGGCCGCGACATCTGCATAGCACGTGTCTTGTTATCCGCTGCTTACGGGGGTCGGAGAGTTTTGGCGAAACTACCGCAGCCTCCGCGGACAAGGACGAGTTCCCGACCATTCAAGCTGGAATACTAATATGCAGAATGGAGTCTGAAGCGAGGAACACCTTCCACAGGACGCTGGTCGAGATTCAGAGACAGTTTATGGTCGCGCCTCGCGCCTCCGATGATTATTGTCGCTTGCGTGTTTGTGAATCGAAACTCGGCGCGAGTCCTGTCAATCTCATCCGATCGCACCAATTTTTGGAATATTTATTCTTTTACTCCTTTCGCGAGGGGAAATTCGCGAGGGTCCGTTTTATTTTTACTATTTAAGTTTTTGAAATCTTCCTTCGAAGAGCTTCTGTTACGGAAAATAAATAAATTAAACGAACGATGCATAAAAAAAAAAAATAGCCGCCTTTCTTCACAACGTCGCCAATGAGAATCCTCGACGGATGCGTTCCGTTTCATCGGACGAAATACCACGTTCGATGCACTCGCTGGTGGAAGTAAATCGAGAGGGATCGAAAGAGAGTTTAATGGTGTTGAAACAGGTTGATGAATGTAGCGCGAAATTGATGAACTCAAGTAGAGATGAGAGTGATTTGATTTAGAATGCTTGATTGGCGCGGATATTTAGTTTCTGGAACGCCGATGTCGCAGGAATAATTAATTTCGTTTTGGGTAATCGTAGGGGGATGATCGAGAAAGACGATAGTCGAAAGATTTATATAAATTAGATTGACTGGAGAGAAAGGGACTGGCGGCGATGAGTCACCAAAGTTGAAAGAAGAAAACCAACAGATTAATCCTACAGTCAAGATATCGTCAAGATCCTCTGGCTTCTTCTTCGAGAAATTTCTTACACGCTCGCATTTCCCCTAACGTCGATCAAGCACTGCCCCTTTTTTCCACGATGAAACACGAAGGAGCGTGGAAAAGCGAGAACATTCACCGCGCGAATAACTACAGCGAGAGCAGAGAGTATGGAAGAAGCATGACAGTGTAGCAAAATCGAGCGTATTCCCAGCATTTGCAAATCGAGCATCATTTAATGACGAACGGCGACCATTAACGATCGGCGCGTGTTCCTCGAACGATTCCGCATCGTGTGCATACCTCCACGTGAACAGGAGGAGGCTTATCGATCGATGGCTGGTATCCCGGAGGGGCAGCAGCCATAAGCGCGGTTGCACGCGTTGCACCCGTGATACGCGTGTGTTTCGCATAATCGCCATCTTTGCCGCTGTATGGCTTGCCTGTGTGCCAGCCGGGTCAATTGGCGAACGCGAGA